GGCTCAGGCAATCCACTCACCTCAGCCTCCCAAGGCGCGGGATTACAGGCTGAGCCACTGAGCCTGGCTTCTTATCTCATTTTAATAATGGTTTAAAATTCTTTCCAACTAATTAATTTTATAATATGAAAAGGATACAGCATTTTCAAATTTAACCTAACTTAAAGTGGAAGGAGTTAAAAAAAAAGCTAAAAGTATGTCATTTGCTTAATTCTTAATGAATCATTTAGTCTTAAGAAAATAAAGTCAATTATAATTGTTTTTGTTATGAAATAGAAATAGCAGTTAGAAAAGCTACACTCTGTGGCTTGGATTATTCCAATGATGCTCTTTCTTAGAGTGTAATAGGGGAAAAAAATGTGACCACAATTTATTGAATCTGTATTACTGCAGTCTTTTGGTTTATTGAAACATCTTAAAAATGCACATGACCTTATAACCTGTCTGACTCTACTCTGCCCCAGTCAACAGTGTTTCAAGTACTCTGCTTTCTATGTTCTAACCTTAACACAACTGCCATTGGCTCGATGTTTAGAGAATTACACTTGCTTAATAACTGTCTTCCTCACTGGATGTAAGTTCTATGAGGGCAGGGTCACTGTCCCCATTGGTCAAGGCAGTAAACAGTGGGCCTGGCTCAATGATTCAACTCAAGTACCATAAAAGTGAAAAGGTAAAGCTCTAACAATGTATTTCATCTGTGGAAGTAAGCTTCAAATTTTATCACACTATTTTATAAATGTTCTTTTCAAAATTAGCACATAATATATGGAGTACAATGTGATATTTTGATACTTGTATAATGAAAGTTCTTATTAAATATTTCATTAAAAAGTCTCAAATCTCAAAATTTGTTAGGAACATTCTTTGATGGCTACAATTATTAATTTTATTTTGCAAATAACAGTCTAGAGCAGTGACTGATTAAAACTATTTGCTAACTTTAATAACGTAAGGTTGGAGTACTGCTTACCAGTCTGTCTGTCTTTCCTTAATTCTCCTATCACAGAACTACTCTCTCTTCCCAACATATGTGTTTGGGGGAGTGAAACATAACACTGTCAAATCAGTGGATCCCAAAGCACCTCATATTTTCTGTCCATTCCTCAGGGAGTAGTACAAAATACAAGCTGGCTGTTTAGAGAGATGTGTTCATGTTTTCTTAGTAGCATGCTCATAAAATAAACAATTTCATTTTGGAGAAAAGGGAAGCTTACCATGGGACCGGGTGGACCATGAGGACCTGGTGGGCCTGGTGGGCCTATGATCTGTATGTCCAAAAAATAAACATTGATTTGGTTACTTCATTTAAATAAGGCAGTTCAGTTTGATGCTTGTGCTGGGATTCTGCTAAGGCCATTAATAGTTGTAGAGGAAGAAAGACACTGGAATAAGTGATGTATGTGATTTAGAAATTCCTCTGTGAGAATTAAAAAACTCTTAAAAAATACAGTTGTTCTACAAAAGCCAGAATAAATCAAAAGTACCTTAAAATAAAAGGAAGGAACTGATTACCAAATGCTATAATGCCACAAGTACTATTAAACTCTCAAATATTTCACTAAGCATAAACAGGACTCTGGAGGAGAAAAAAAAGTACATTCTGTATTTACAAAGCTCATCCACAAGTGTTGGAAAACCACTGCTTTTCCCCTAAGGATTAGACAGTTCTCTGAAAAATTGCTTCTCTCTCAGCCTCCTGAGACACTTTGTCACTGTACAAGGTTGACAGAAATTTCTTCTGCAGTTTGACAAACCAAGAGGATCGAGGTCTTTCTACTGTTGCTAAACCATCTGGCAGGGGTGGAACTAGGTAAGTAATAGGTTGGAGTTGCAAGAGTTTCAGGAACTGTGGAAGTTCAGCCACCATGGACTTACAGAAGGACCCTGAGGACCCGGCATTCCAGAGTCTCCTTTTTCTCCTTTCATTCCATTGGCTCCCTACAAATAACCATAGAGCAGAATTAAGCGGGTCAAGTTATTTCCAAGTGTAAGAGACAACAGAATTTTTGTCCTAAACCTGTTATCCTCTCGAAATTTTATACTATTAAGCACATGATGTATAAAAGAAGGACTGATCTCCTTGCATTCTAACCTTCAATAGCAAGCTTACTAAAATCCATAGGATTGTGGGTGATATGTGAAATAAAATATAAGTTAATAAAATCTAGGTTGGACTTGATAGGTTAAACTTATACAGTGTTAAGTATATTGGGTTATAAATATTATGTCTTTTATGGTGGCACTCATTTTAAACAGCAAAGGTATGTCATGTAACTTAGTTTTCACATTTATATACTTCCTTTTTAAAAAAAAAAAGATCTAAGGCAGTGACGTTTACTATATTTTTGTTTGTTTTACAATTTATACATTTTACCCTCCAAATTCTCAGTAAAAATTAGGGGAGAAAACCATAAAAACACATCCTATAGAATCATACAAAACTTCCCAGAGTAACTTGTTCTTTAATTGTTATATATTTTTGACTTATTTCTTTATTATGGTTTATCAGTGAAAATAATTCATGAAAACATGAAGGTTTACTTTATAATTCATTTGTTTACATGTTTTAAAATTTAGTTCCCTAGTTGAAGTAATTAACAGATAATACTGCAAATATTTCAAAATAAAAAATTAGATCAACCACTAAGTGAGATTACAGCTAATAATATAACTTTTTTCTGATTGTTTCATTTATCTCAATACAAACATATTAAAAAGTATAAACATACCGGCAATCCAGGAAGTCCAATTCCTCCTTTTTCACCTGGCATACCTGGGTCCCCCATGTCTCCCTTTGAACCTTTGAGTCCCTACAAATGATAGGGTTTGCATGTAAGAAGCACACTGACCCCTGATAGTTATATTCTAGGGAAAATAGAATTCTGGATCAATTTTGTCAATAGATGGGTCTTACATTGAGATAACTGATTTTAATTTTATGTAGAGTTATTTCTTACAGCAACCTTCTATATGCATCAATACTATTTCCCCTTTTAATAGAAGTGAGTAGGTTCTATTAGGCTAGTCACAAAAAATTTTCTAGAGACAAGGTCTCACTATGTTGCCCAGGGTGGTCTCAAACTCCTGGCCTCAAGCAATCCTCTTGCCTTGGCCTCCCAAAACCCTGGGATTACAGGTGTGAGCCACCATGCCCTGCCTATTAGGCTATTTAAATATAAAAAATATGAACTCAGGTTTTGACATCATTTCTCTTGATTTCATATTTTTCCTGGCAGCTAGTTCTATCTAATCAGTCCTGAAGACATATTAATGAATTTAGTCTCAATAGTGCAGTATACATTTTGAGCTGGAACCTAGTGTTGTTATAATAATACAGGATCAAACAAAATTTTCTTATCTTCAATTCTATGTTCCCCTATCCCCTAACTGCAGGCAGAAGTTCCAGTCATCATCAGTTTTTGATGGTCCTGTCTACAGACAGCTAAATCATTTACTCCACACTAATGCTTGGCCAACGCTTAAAAATGCTCCAACTTTTTCACAGTGCTCTCATTTTGTCCTTGTGGTATCTCTATGAGAGTAGTCAGAATGTTATTTTTATTCTCCTTTTACAGTGAGGAAATAGATGAATGAACATTTTAAATGTTAACAAATCTGAATTTTATAATATTAATACTGAAATTAATTTATATTGTTAAGCATTTTCATCCTAGGGACCTCACTGCAATATGACCAGATGGCTCATTCTTCAACAGAGCCGATCATACTTATGGTAAAGCAAAGGTCCTTGACTCCCGGGCCATGGGCCAGTACCAGTTCGTGGCCCATTAGGAACCAAGCTGCACAGCAGGAGGTGAGTGATGGGTGAGCCAACGAAGCTTCATCTGTATTTATAGCTACTCCCTGTCACTTGTATTACCACTTGAGCACCATATTCTGTCAGCTCAGTGGCAGCATTAGATTCTCAAAGGAGTATGAACCCTATTGTGAACTGCTCATGTGAGAGATCTAGGTTGCGTGCTCCTTATGAGAATCTAATGCCTGATGATCTGAGGTGGAGCTGAGGCAGTGATGTTAGCTCTGGGGAGCAACTGCAAATACAGTTTAATATTAGCAGTGAGGTTTAACTGCACAGAGACATAATAAATCAATTGCTTGCAGATTCATATCAAAATCCTATCAGTGAGTGGTGAGTTGATGTACTTCAATTGTACAGCTGCATCTGGTGGCAAGTTTAAGTCAGAATCCGACACTTATTTTAGTCCATGTGTAGCCTATTTTATTTACTACTTCTGTCCACACTTCTTTTTTTTAATGGTGAGTTGTATAATTATTTCATTATATATTGCAATGTAATAATAATAGAAATAACATGCACAATAAATGTCATCGTCCCAAAGCCATCACGCCCTCCCCATCCCATCTGTGGAAAAATTGTCTTCTATGAAACTGGTCCTGATGACAAAAAAGTTGGGGACTGCTGTGGTAAGGGGCCTCCAGGCTGCACAAACCTGTTTATCTTTTCTGTATTAAAAACTACTTAGGGAAAGGAATGTGTCTTTTCTTGTTAATGGTACCTATTTCATAGCATCTAGTTTAGAAGCACTCGTGGGCGTGTGGGTAAGTAGTGCCTGAATGAACAGCTGAATTTTACTGCTTAATCAGACCCTAGTTAGTTTAAGGAACTTGTGTTAGAAAGTAGTGGGATGGCCAACCCACTGGACTTAGTGGCAGAAGAAGACCTTCTAAAGCTTATACTTTAAAAATCCAGCTATTGTATATGTAGGGGCCATGCAGTATGCCATTATGCCTATCAAGTGAATTACTTATAATGACCAATAGTGAGAGACATCATACAGCCAGATTTTTAAATTATGAGTGATCTCTGATATAGCAAATCATCTAAAGTCTCTTTCTTCTTCTATGTTTATTTAATGTGGCATTATATGATTTTAACACACAATTTTGATATCAAAAATAACTCATCTCCTAAATATTATTTTCTTGTCTAATACTTTCTCCTGAGGAGTATATGTTCACTAACTGTATCAATAATCTTTTTGACAGAGCTTGAAACTAACACTTGTAGTACTGTTCTGAATTCTGAACACTGTGCACATTCTCCTGGTCAGATTCTTTTATGGCCAGGTTGCCAAACCACGGCTTAAATCCAGCCCAGAGATTGTTTTTGTAGAGGCTAAATAATTTAAACAACTCTAATGGGGTATTTTTTTTAAGGGAAAATGTGACTGAGACTGGACATGGTCTGTAAAGCCTAAAACATTTACTATCTGGCCTTTTAAGTGACTCAGCCTGTAATCCCGCGCCTTTGGGAGGCTGAGGTCAGTGGATTGCCTGAGCCCGCGGGTTCAAGACCTGCCTGGGCAACTTGGCAAGACCTCATCTCCACAATAAATCAAAAATCAGCTGGGCGTGGTAGCGTGCCCCTGTAATTCCAGCTGCTCGCAAGGCTGAGGCAGAAGGATCGCCGGAGCCCAGCAGGTCGAGGCTGCGGTGGCCGGGAGCGGCCACTGCACTACAGTCTGGGTGACAGAGTGAGACTCCAACTAAAAAAAAAAAAAAATTATCAACTTCTGTTTTGGGGAAACCCTTAGAGACACTGCTATACTCTGCAAAGGTACAAGTGCCCTGCTTGTTTCTGTCATTTTAAGGATTCAGAAAATTAGGTATAATGTTTATTTGGGGAAAAAAATGACTAAATAATGCACATAAACAACATCTAATTTTGTGAAAACTATCATCACTGATTTTAATCTCGAATTATTTGTATTTACTGTCTAAATTTAGGCTATTTGTACTAAATTGATAAAGGTCTTACAAGTCTACTAACAATTTGCTGAGGAGTCGCTGGTGGATTGATAGGAAGTATTAAGAACAAAACTAAAGCATCATATAACTCAGATGTTTCTGCAAATAAAATTAATGCTTAATTTAAAACCAATTGCTTTAGTGTTAACATAGTCTCTAGAAAAAATGGTTTTAAAAGAGTTTTTGGCTTCAAACCTATAATAAAATTCGTGATCAAGAATGGTGCCTTATTATTCACAATAGTAAAAACATGGAACTAATTTTGCTGCCCAAAGAAAGAAGACTGAACTAAAAAAATGTGGTAAATAACATGATGGAATATTACACAGCCATAAAGAAGGACAAAATTATGAACTTCACAGCAACTTGGATGAACTTAGGGTCTATAATATGGAGTGATCTATCACAGAAACAAAGAACTGAGTACCACATGTTCTCACTCATAAGCAGAACTTGAACAATTATCATAATACTGTAAGAAAGGGATTGGCAGTAGTGGGAAACTGTTGGGGGTTGGGGAGTGGGATTGGCAGTAACGGGAAACTGCCGGCGGGGTACCCTTAACAACAAGGATACTTGGCGTAATGAACATTTGTATAGCTAACCCTGAATTGTACCCCACAACTTTAAATTAAAAATTAAAAAAAAAAGAATGATGCTTTAAATAATGGCATATATCTGAAAATTACCTGCTCTCCATCAGCTCCTGGGCTTCCTGGAGATCCCTGCTCACCCTATTAAGATAAAAAGTGATAGCTTGCCTTCATTTCTCATTGGTAACAGACTGCACTACATAAAAAATGATGCTAGTTGATTAACAGTACAATTTGACTTTCAGCAAATGCATCGTAACAAAAGAATACTCTATTATAACACATATTCAGACTAAGTAAACTTAAAATCTTTCTTGAACATTATGTATATATAGCTGGGATTCAGTGTTTTTATTTTTTTCTCTATGTGAGATGGAGGCTAAAAAAATAGTAAAAGAAATCTGATGAAGATAATTTGATGACTGACATATCCTATAGCAACAACCTATATGCCTAATAATTTTTTTCTCCATACAAAATATGTATGGTTTTTCTTTTTTAAAAATTTTTTTATTTTTCAAGTCAGCCCCTATAGGACTTGATGTATGGTTTCTCTTATCTTTCAAATTCAGTTAAAAAAATTATATAACAGTCAACCTAAGAAAAAAGTAAAATGCAAAGTTTTATGAATTTACAGTATTTTAATTGGCACTGTTTGCACAGTAGACACAAATTCATGATTGTGAGTGTACTATTGCCAGAAAACCCTCACTGAAGGAAATAATAAATCAGATGATGTCTTAATCTACATGAAATTACTTTAGGATCAATTCAATTTCCTATACTGTGAAAGGAATGAACTCAAATTTGCTATTCACATCACGATTTATAGCACTTTTAACAAACTAAAAATATACAGATATGTGGTTTTTTTTTAACTGAAGATATTCCACGAAAAACAAATTTATATAATATGCCAGAGAGTTATCCAAACAACAAGTGCTTAGTCACATTCAGTTTTGAAAGGTACTAAACAGACAAATTTCTTAAAAAGACGTTATTTTATATCAGTGAGTCATTTATGTGGATCTCATTACAAATACTCCTGAATCCCACACTGTAGAAACTTTGTAGAAACAGCCCTTCTGAGTGTGAGTGGTCTGCCTCACAGACAGATTTCCAAGAGAGTGGACTTAAGGCTGTATTTTCTAGAAAGGTTTATTTGGTTATGCTATAAACCACCATACTGAAATGGCTAGAACTCCTTCCCCTGGCAAACATTTTAAGAGCTATGGGCTACAGCATAAAATTTGAGCTTTCCAATGTGTAAGGAAGGCATGATCTTGTGGTTTTAAACAAACAAAATTTTTAAAAAGGTGGGGGCGGGGAGAGCTTTTTCTTATTTCAGACTTCCTGCTCTTTGTGGTAGTGGCAAGGTTTATTTTGCCACAAATAAGTCTGCTGAGGTTGACTGCACCTGGCTAAGTCTCAGTTATATCCAGAACCTGAATACTTGTCAGCACTGTGGGTCCAATAATGATTGCTTTGCTGAGATTTTCCCTTTAAAATATGGCTCACAAGAAAAAGATTTAAAAGAAAAACATAATTCATGACTTATTCATTTATCCTTTACCCCACAAATGTAGTTTGTAAGAGTTATTTGCTGTGTAAGAAATCAAACAATGCTTGTTTGATAAAGGAAGAAGAAATGCTAATTGAGTAAGTTCCCATTCAGTCTAAGACTCAGTTCCGAGATTAGAATTCGGGAGGACCTCTATACTTGACTATAAAGGAGAACCCCTGTGCTTGGCCACGTTTTGTGGTCTCTTGGTCAGTTATGTTCCACCTCAATTATCACAACCTTTTCAAAGAGAGATCATGAAAAGCATAAAGGCCTACATTAGCTAACACAAGATCTCAACTATGAGACCATCACAGAGTGAGTGAGCCGAAGGTGACAGCAGAGTGGAAAGAATGACAAGGATAGAAGGTCAGGAGAATGACTAACCTCGCCCAACACCACTTGTCTAGATGGTCACCTGGTCAGCTTCTCTCTGTCTTTTCATTTCAACTCAAAGACATCCTTGACTCTCAGCATTTGGAGTGGCCTTACCATGCACATCCATAGTATGTGCTCATAATCAAAACACTTACTCTAGTTATTAATAAGTGTGCCTTTCTCCCTCCCTAGGCTGTAAGCTCCTTGTTGAAACCTCTTACTAGTATCCTTACTAGATACTAGCCTCTGCTACATAGTAGAGGCTCAAAAATTATTTATTGAATGATTGAATTGGTAAATGAATAGCAATTGGATTATAAAACCAGGTAAATGTAGGTTTTAGTGATACAGACTTTTTTTTTTTCCTAGGTGTCCCTTTTTCCCTCTCTGGCTTAAGAGATGAGTGCCTTTTGGGATTTCTGTAGGCCTTTGGACGGCAGAGAAAAGTCCTAGAAGTTTTTGAGGTATGGGGAAATGAGGTATGTATTCAGTTTGGGGGAAAATTTTGGTTCTGAAGATTTAGTCAAGTGAGAGAGTAAAGGAAGAAACCTAGACCTTGGTTGACTCTACACGCAGGAAAAATAAATCTATAGATTTCCTTCTAGGTTGTTTATTCCTACTCACCACAATATTAAAGATTAAGGATCCAGGCAGTCTTGCTCACTAGAAATAGAGACTATGTATGACAGGAGAGCTGTTTGTGTTATATCTCTTAGGGACTAGGATGTGGTAGAGAAATAGAAAGTTAAAAATCCTACACCTTACATGAATGTTATTCACCAAATTTGTTTGAAATAAGAATCTATATTCCAAATACATATTACAAAGGCAAGAAGCTCAGTAATGTTTTACTTTATATTCTTTTATATAATACAAAATAAATTTTTCTATGTACTAGATTTCTGTACTTAGGTATCTAGAAAGAGAAGAATACAAAAGTTGATATGTGTGCATGTGTATTATGATAGACTTAGCAAATAAACTGCCTTAAGAAGCATAAACAAAAGATGAATTTCAAAACTACTTAAATCTCCTACAAGAATCCAGTGATGAAAGTTATATTTCAACACGTGTAGCTCAGTCCTGAAATGTTAGAATCACTGGCTATGTGTTAATTGATCAGATATGGTTGAATGACTAAGCTTTCGTTTGGAGGAATGAAGTCAACACCATCAACAAATTTAAGATATAATCAAGCAATGTTAGGTTCCTGCTATTTGTAGTTGGTAAGTTTTATTAGATAAGATTTAAATGGCAAAACGCCTGCATGTATGTAATAAAGGAATGCGTTATTTACAAAAGAATAAAAAGTTATTCTTAAAGTTGTTATTTGTGAATGCGCTATGTGAAAGCTTCCCTTGTTCTTTTTATTACAAAAGAATTGGAAGGATCTTTCTTAGTGTCAAATTTAATTTCCTTCAATTCCCATTTATATATTTTTTTACATTTAGTGTTCCTTTACATTAATAATTTCTGTGGAACTTGTTTTTCCCCTTGTTTAATATTTGTTGTTTTTCTCATCATTCTCTCCTAAATTGAATTTCTTCCCCTTCTTTTCCTATTTTTCTTCCTTCCTTCCTAATTTTCCCTCTTCCTTCAGCCCAGATCGCAATTTTTTTTCTTCACTCTCTGAAGTAATATTACTGATCTCAGCTTCTCCAGGATTTTGTAAGATTGATTTTCAAAGATACATATACTTAACATGAGCTTCCCTGCATTGCATGTGGTAAATAAAAACAAGTAAATAAAGATTAACCTTTGGTCCTTGTAGTCCTTGAGGTCCAGGAGGTCCAGGGGGGCCCTAAATTAAGAAAAAAGTACAGTTTTTAAAACTAACAAGCATATGTATTAAAATCCATGCTTTAAGCACACTACACACCTCCCTTGTTAATATCATAATCGGATATCTCCCAATATTGATTTGCAATAAGAAAAAAATTTCCCCAATCACATAATTACAAAAGCCACTCACATGCTAAGATAGCAACACATTTTAGATCAAAATAATGCTAAAGATGCTTGGGGGTTGATTCTGTAAAGCAATGTAAGATTGCTGCCATGCCCCACATTTGTCTTCTTTGGAAGAGTTAGCTTACTCTCATTTCTTGTGTTTCTAGATACACCACTTGCCCCTTCAACCCAAAGGCTTTGGTTTCCCAAACCATAAAGAACAAAGCTATATTTTTACAATAAGGCCCGTGACTTTTAAGAAAAATAACAATAGCTTTTTTTCTTGGCTTTTTAACTAAGCAGATAAAGTGATTCAACTGTAGCAAATGTTGGAAAAAGCTATTAATATGAGGAAACATAAAATTAACTATCAGATAAAGACAGTAGCTATATTAGCACCATTTTGACTGGCATGCATCAACACCAAATACAAAATCACAAACCACAGAAATCATGCAACAGGAGTTACCGTGACAGTTAAGGTGGTAATCCTCTGTTGGGAAAATGTATTGATAAAGACAGAGTTATCTATTTTGTGTGCTATAATACATAATACATTTCTGAAATAATCAACTTTTTGAAAACGTTTTGGCAAGTCTGATGTCTTATAAGGAATTGACAAGATGCTGAGAGCATATGATCCTATTTTTAATGTAGTATAATTGTAAAGATTTTTAAAAATTAATTTTAGGATCTTATTTTAAAATTCTATGGTTGAAGTAAACAAAAAGTTAAAATTTTAATTTATGTGATTTAAAAATTATGTAGTAAAGTAGTGTGCACTAGAGATTAGTTAGCATAATTGTGAATTGAGAAATTTTGCTATTGGGAAAACTATATTCTAGAGAGCACTTCAATTCAAGAAAGCAAAAATATCCAATTCCATATATTTTTTCTTTTAGTCCACCTCCCATTTGTTGCATTAAAATTAACCTTGGGGGCCAGGCGCAGTGGCTCACATCTGTAATCCCAGCACTTTGGGAGGCCGAGACAGGAGGATTGCTTGAGCCCAGGAGATCAAGGCTATGGTAAGCTGTGAGCATGCCACTGAACTCCAGCCTGGGCAACAGAGTGAGACCCTGACTCAAAAAGTAAAACAAAAAACAAAAATTAACTTGTTGTGTGTATGTGCCATACTAAAGAGATTAATTGACAGAATTATTCTAGTTTCTTAAAGTGCTAGAGAACTATAACAAAATATGCTTCTCAACATATGAATCTCCAAAACATAATACCTAATGTTTTTACATTAATATTTTCTAGTCTAGGTCCTGTGCTAAAAGTTTTATAAGGCCCATGACCACTTTATGGAATCACAGGTGGAAGAATGTTTTCTATTAGGGACTCTGATCACCAAAAAACATGATCTGATTATATGTAAACTTGTGAATATCAGTTTAACACCTCTCTTTGTTTTCCACTACTCCATTCCAATCACTAATTTAAGCTATTGCTGTTGTTTTTATTATTGTTGCTGTAAAACATAATCTTAACATTATCTTCCCTCAAACAAGTCTCTAGTGACATGGCATCATATATAAATGAATAAAGGTTGTATTTTATGATAAAACCAGTCAAGGTCATTATAGCTTCAGAGAAAATATAGTAGAAAAAAAATCAGTGCTTCTAAGACAAACCACAAAATGCCTACAAACTGGGGGCAAGGTTATTAAAAAAAAAAAAATGTCCAGAACTTTATATCATAAGATGTGTGTACTATAAGGTGCCATTTACTCTATTCTTAAGGGATTCACCTGGAACAAGAATTGAATTTATAGCTATGGGAATACTACTTTTTTGCTCCTACAGTGTAGATGAGTTATTTAAACAAGGCTATTAGAAAATTATAGAGTAGAAATAACTTACTGACTTCCAATTACCTATTTTTTAAACTAGAAAGCAGAATCATAAAACCCTAGAAAAGAAAAGGAGTTTAAAATTCAAACTCTCTGAAGTTTTCCACTATGTGTCATATTTAAATTAATCTTTCTAACTGAACACAGGGCTAGTTTGTCTTTTAAAACATTATACAATTTCTTGGGGAGGGGATGGAAGAGATCTCACTTTGTCACCCAGGCTGGAGTGCAGTGGCACCATTACGGCTTACTGCAGCCCTTACCTCCTGGGCTCAGGTTATCCTTCTGCTTCAGCCTCCCAAGTAGCTGGATATACTGATATATGCCACCACGCCTGGCTAATTTTTTTTTTCCATAGAGACAAGGTCTCACTATGTTGCCTAAGCTGGTCTTGAACTCCTGGGCTCAGGCATTTCTCCTGCCTGGACCTCTTAAAGTGCTGGGATTATAAGTTTAAAGCCACTGTGCCTGGCCTGTCTTTTTTTTTTTTTAATTTAAAGATAACATGTTCTACAATGAGCTGCTTAATAAAAAGAATATTATTAATGATAGCTGACCTAACACATGGGGTTTAACTGATTTTTGTTAAATAACTATGTCTGTGAAACCTGAAAATTGTATAGTGGTCCGTCTAGTTAATAGGAGCAAAAATGACAGCAAGCTAAGTTAACACACATATACATAGTTTTGCCCACCATCTGGAAGCACCAGGGTGCAGACACACAGGTAAGTCTTAGAGATGTTGGCTCACTTTGGATTTCTTGCATATGGCTCTTCTAAGTCAAAGCTACATAAACTCAGCAGGGTTTTCTTGAACTCTCACAGTGATTTGAAAACCAGAATTTTTTGGTAGTTATGGAGAAAGACACGCTATTCTCCAGTGAGACGTGACATGGAATGGAAGGTATGAACCACAGCAACTGTAAATTGGGTACAGTCAGGCAAGCTGCTTTGTGATTTATTCCCTGAAATGTTTACAGGAATTTCTTTAGAATTAAAGGTTATTTTCATTCATTTTTCATAATGATAAAAATTTAGCACTCATGATTCACACTACAGAACACGTTTAGTTTAAATAATGAGCAGAATTTTTAAAAGCTTGAATTAGGAAATAGGTTTAAACTGTGGAAATTTAACCTGCTAAATAAAAATGAATAACTTATGGCAATGTTTATATGGATAACAATTTTCAGTTGAGGTAACAGCAAAATTTTATATTTTGAATATGGTATGATTATAACTGAAATATACTTCTATTTATCTAATTATCCTAGAGTATTTTGGCAGATTGTTTTGAAAGAGGAAATAATGAAATGAAATCTGCAAAGTTGTAAATATTCATAACTAGTTAGCTAATTGGAAGAATAAATGTTTACGCTTCTCAATATAACTTAATTGATGTTATTAGAAATTCTTAATTCACTTGAGCACTGTTAGGAAAATCAATAGTTTTGAAGTGAAAAATAACTACAATCTATGTATAAGCACAACATATAGTTGCTTAACAATTCCGTGAAAATAATAAACCTTTAGGTTGAGACATAAGCATGAACTAATTGACTATGATGGGTATTGCCTGCTTTGCAGTTATATAGAACTAAAAGGTAAGAAAGAAAATGAAGGATATATTCTTTCATAGCAAGATGTAGGTATCATATTTTTAAAAAAGAACAATGCTTTTAGGCACATCAATAAAAAGTGTTCAGAGACTCCTAAAAATAATAAGAATAATATTAGATTTCATGAACACAGAGAAAAAAAAAATCTATTCCCATAACATCCTTATTTTGCAGATAAGATCAATGAAGTACAGACACATTAAGTGATTTCCTAAAAATGACTCAGTTAGTTAGTAGTGGAGGTGAGACTGAATCAGATATTTCTATCGTAGACCAAGGATTGCCTGCTTCATGCCAGACCCTGTTCATGCAAAGAATGTTTTACAACCTCGTTCACAATTTTGCAGAAAAAGGCCAACAATATTGGAGCAATTATTGGAAAATAAGGAAGAGATACCTTTTAAAGGTAGTGAGAATTATGGTGTCACTGGAAGTAGTTCAAGGGAAATTTACAATACTGTTAATAATTTAAGTTAAAAATAGTGTCCCTATGTTTTGTAAGTAAGAACTTTGAAAACACAGGTACACCAAAACTTTGTGTTCTCTGTCTCTCTTTCTCTCCATACACAGTTATCAACTTCTAGGGAGAAGGGAACAATTTGGAAAACTGGTTCTAGAACTTGACAATAACCCTGAGGCAACGGCTTTTATCTAATCCACTTATGCTACGGGGCACTAATTTAAGCTATTGACAAAAGATATTTCCCAACCAACATTTCTTCAAGCAGCAAACATGCTTCTCTTTGCATTTTTACCAGAAGAAAAAGAAAGAAAAGACCACAAAAAATACGCTGAGCTGCAGATAGATTTTGTAAAAAGTGCTTAATAAAAACTTTACTAGTTAATAATGGTGGTTGTAGCAAAACGTCTTTAAGTATAGATCCATCATAATTAGATCATGTTAGTGAAATCATGAGGATGGAAAACTGTTTCAAATGGGTCCAAAATGGTGGAGGAATATTAAGAACAATTTGGCTTTCAAGCAGAGAAACGGCTTATACATATTAATTATGTATACTCATTCAACCAATAACCACTTATTTAATATTTACATGCCCAGACAATATGAACATAAAATATGTATCTATCACCAAGAAACTTACTATCTGGTAAGAGGCAAGACTAAAATCAGCTATGCAATTTGAGAGTAATTAAATATTAAGTTACTACACTCTGGCTACTAAAACATCAAACTAAAATTTAAAAGGATGAAGAGGGAGAACTTGTCTGGGTGGCAGCAGTGGATTGTAGCATGGAATTTAGATGGGAAAGAAAGGAAAGAAGAATGGGATGAACTCAGGGCAAAAGGAGATTTGTTTGGATATGATTAAAATGATCACACCAGGCAAACTCTACACTGTGGGGAAATGAAAAGTTCTGCTAGGAAGGGCATGATCATAGAGACTTAAAATGGAAAAATTGGGGTTTGACGGAGTAGGCAAGGGGGGTCATTTAGGCAGAGTGGAGCCATCAAAGTCGTGATTGTTGATGGAAATTAACCTTGGAGTGACACACAGGGTGAACTGGAAGGGCAAGGAGGCTCTAGGGAAAGAGGAATTGGTCAAGAGGTTATTGCTGTGTTAGGCATGAAGTCAACAGGATGTGAATCTAGTTGGAAATGGAAAAAAAGGCAGCCTCAAGAGACACTTTGAAAAGGAAATAGCAGCATTCGAGATAGAATAAGTGAAAGATTAAGAATAGTTTAAAATTGCCCTAAAGTTTCTGTCCTCCAAAGTTCAGACTCATGATATCACTAACAGAAACTGGTTAGTTAAAAAAGGGACTCATCTGCTAGATGGGAAAGGTAGCCAGTATATTTGTATGTATTGGTAGAAGGCAATAGACCATGGTGCACCTGTAGTGGAAATACAATTAGATGACTGGAGACACACACAGGTTAGATCTGGAAAGGAAGAACTGAGAGTGAGAATAGGGAAGAACACAGAGGAAATGATTGTACTAAGAAAAGACTGAAGATTTAAAAATACCAAAAATTAAGGGCTGGGCAGGGAAATTGGAATATCAAAATAGACTGGATTCATAAGAGAAGAAAATGGAAGAAATGAAATGAAAGTACAAGGTCAGAGAGACAAACAAAAGTTTCACAAGGATGGTGGTTTGGTATAAACATGTCACAGAAAAGTCAAGAATGATGAGTACAATGGACTTGACACAGAGATTATGGCTGACCTTTACAGCAGAATGATGATAAAGACTAGAATACAGGAATCTAAATATAATGAGAATGAGTGGTAAGCAAACGTGGTGGAGACAAGCCACACAGTCAATCTTTACTTGATGGAAGGAAAATCATGGAATGGTAGCAATAATAAGAAATACTCATAAAGAGCTTACCATGCACCAAGCACTGTTCTAAGTATACAATATGTATTTAGTCTTCTGCTTTTCTCAACAAGCCTGTGAGGCAGACACTATTACTACCCTCATTTTATAGCTGGGAAAACTGGAGCACAAAGAAGTGAAATAACTTGTCCTAGCTCACACATTTAGAAGCAAGCGAGGTGAGATTCGAACTCAGGCAGCTCCAGCTGTAGAGCTACAGAGCTCTTAATTGCTCTGCTAAGCTCCCTCTTCAAGCAAGGAGCCAAGAGCTGGCCAACTGAACACAAGTTTTTACTTCTAGTAAGGCTTAAGTATATCTGAAGGCAGAAGGAAGAGAAAAGAGGCGATTAAAAAACACTACATGCTGGGCTCGGTGGCTCAGCCTGTAATCCCGCGCCTTTGGGAGGCTGAGGTGAGTGGATTGCCTGAGCCCGCGGGTTCGAGACCCGCCTGGGCAATCGAGAACCTCATTTCTACAATAAATCAAAAAATTAGCCGGGTGTGGTAGCGCATGGCTGTAATTCTGGCTACTCGGAAGGCTGAGGTGGAAGGATCGCCGGAGCCCAGCAGGTCGAGGCTACGGTGACTGGGAGCGGCCACCGCACTCCAGTCTGGGCGACAAGAGTGAGACTCCAACTCAAAAACAAAAACAAAAACAAAAAACACTACAAAATAAAGAAGATAAACTGAGGCAGAGAGAAGGAGAAGGGTTCTGGGGAACAGGGAGCCAGAGTATTTGGGGCAGTGGGATCCTCCAAGAGCAGAGGGTGTGGAAGCTTTTGTTTACAAACATTGCATAGGTGTTTTGTTTACATTCTCAGTGTGTGTCAGGGCAGGGAGCAGTCACTTGCCTGTAAGGCTTCATGAAGGTTGCCATTGTAGTCTATGATCTCGGTAGCTCCTTGATCTCCTTTTTGACCAGGTGGACCCTATGACAAAAACAAACGAAAATTATGGGCATTAGGCTAGCATATAGAGTGGACTGTGGCAAAAACAGAGATAGAAACTGACTGTCGCTTCCTTACTAAGTCCCAGCTGTGCTTTAGCATAAGTAATTATGTTCACATTTTGTCCTTACTGGAGGCAAATTACTTCTATCTTCCTGTCTGTGATAGGTTAAAAATATAACATCTGACTTAAAAAATATATATGATTTTCTGAAATGATTTTCTGGAAATTATAAAATACAGGTTAATCTGATGTGACTTGTAAAATTTTATTGGCTTCATCATATTTTCCAAAGCAATCCCTAATCTGTATTTATTCATCTATACCTCATAGACTGCTTTTTCATTCTGGAAAAAAAAAATAGAATGTTGTTCTGTAGAAAATGCTTAGCTTTCCCAATTGGAATAGGCTGCTGTGGAAATCAAATAGAGAACAAAAAGGAGAATACATATATATTTTAAAGACTTCTACCCTACACATTAGATCTGCTGCTTAATTTCCATTAGTCATGTCCTATTTCCTTGCCTTTTTTTAAAAAAGCTTCTGAACATATGGGTTATTGCTTTTTTATAATTGGGTTAATTGAAAAGAGGAAAATTCTATTAGCTGGATGGCAGTGGGTTTGCTATTGCTCATTTAACAGAGAAAAAGCAAGTAAGGAGAGTTTTTTAGACCATCTTCTCAAGGAAGCATATTTTATGTGTTAGAGTCTCCATACTCACTGCTTCTGATGTCTAAAATAAGAAATAAAGTGGGGGGCGGGAGGTTGAAGGAAAACTACAATAGTCTACCTCAATGCTATTATTGGACATTGTCAGTCCAGATGCCTTGTAACAAGTCAACGGACACCACTTTAAATCAGGACTTGTAGGGGGTAAATGTTTAGATGAGAGACACTCACTCTTGGTCCCAGAGCTCCAGAGTCCCCTTTGTCTCCACGATCACCCTTTTTCCATTGACAAGAGAAAAAAAATTTAATTAGTAGTGAGGCCAACGTCTAGAATTCTCTTATTCTAAAAATATATACCATACAGCAGCATTTTAAAAATGAACTTCTGAAGTAGAAACTTCAACAGCAATCACCAACAAAATGTCAAATGCCTTTTAAAGATGCGCCTTGAAGGGAATTAAGATTTCCTTTTCAGATAATAGAGTATCATGAAGCAGCAGTACACATGATGACTGTTTCACTAGGTGAGATCTGCAAAAGCAAAGCAAGTGGTTTTTATGGCACTGAAAGTAAGCTTTTGCCTTTCAGACTGAGCCACGCTTGGGGCAAAGGGAAAGAGTCAAGCAATTGTGTTGTCTGTCCTCTGAGAAGCAAAGTGTAGATAATTGGGACATGGAAGGAGTACAGAGCTCATTGTAAGGAAAATTAGGAAAGAAAGATCATAGGCTAGGCTTCCCTCTGATGATGGGGATCTAAGAAAAGGCCCATCCATAGGTACAGGCATTTTGACAATTAGACGGTGCTGAAGTGGACAGCAGCCAGTTGGAACAGGTAGGCAGGGCTGAAGGTCATAGGCAGGGCCAACACTGCTCTCCCTTTTTCTTTTCAATGCAATATGAAAAACAAATCTGAAGTTTCACTGATGGTGTCATTACCTCACCTGTAGAGACAGCAGGGATAGTCTAGCCCTCGCAATTCTCAGAAGCGTAAACTGAAACTTTGTGGAAGAGATTTGAAACTGTGTAGATTTAATGCTTTCTTAAAACAGTCTTAAATTTATAGAATCCTTTTCCTATGTGGACTTCAAAGCATTTTTTATGTCTTTCTACATATTCCTATAAATTGGGTAAGGACCAGGAAAAAGGATTATACTTTCCCCATCGACATTATGCTAATAACATTGACCCTAATAATTAAATTTGATACAAATGGAGAGTTAATAATCTCTGCTCTCTGTTTTCTTCATTTTGCATGCATTTTTCCATGTTATTAGCTAATAGCACTTTAAACAACATGATTCTGTTGACAGTATATATATATATTATTTCAGATAGTTTAAAAAGCATGATAAAGGGAAGAATTTCAACTAGTGGTAAAATTTTAATGCAATGAAGAGAGTCAACCAACTTCAAGGCAAAGAATAATTTGAACATTTATCAGAAAGATAGCTAGGGAATGAAAAGTAAGATTATACAACACATTACTTAAATTAAGTTTTTTATTTTTCTAAAGAATCTATTCTTATGAAATAGGTAAGAAATATAACTTTTCTTAAAGAATAATCTAAAGCACAGACTACACAAAAATAAGCAAGATGAAACAAACAAATTATTTTGTGATATCATCACAGGGCCAGAATTATTGCAATCCCAGTGTGTGAAAAGAGTTGAATTTTTTTTAATAATGTATATTTTTTTGAGTCAGGGTCTCATGCTGTTGCCCAGGCTGGAGTGCTGTGGCATGATTGATCATGGCTCACTGCAGCCTCTACCTCCTGGACTCAGGTGATTCTCTACTTGAAAAGTAGCAGGAACTACAGGCACATGCCACCATGCCTGGTTAATTTTTAAATTTTTTTGTAGAGACAAACTCTTGCTATGTTACTCAGGCTGGTCTCAAACTCCTGGGCTCACACAGTTCTCTTGCCTCAGCCTACCAAAGTGCTGAAATTATAGGCATGAACCACCATATCCAGCAGAAAGAGTTTAATTCAAAGCATGACTCTTTGTGGAAGAGGCAAAAAGCACAGATCTTGAAGGCCTCAAGTTATATTAAAATGGTTATTTTGTTACTGACCTTTGACCCTTTTGGGCCTCTAGTTCCTGATTCACCTTGTTTTCCCTATTATAGGAGAATAAGAAGATGAAGAAGAAAATGACAGAGGAGATAAGAACAGAAAAAAAGAAATTAGCAGTGACTTCAAATAATGAAGAAAAATGGAAACACTTTATTTTAACTGCCTCAATATATGGCTCTATATAATGTTGGTTATTATAACACTAAACATAAAGTATCATCACCATATCATTAGTTCATTCCATTCTTATTCTGAAAACTACCCTCCCATCAGTGAATGAGAAGAGTTCTGTGAATAATTCTCATTAGTTTCTGCAGTGTTTGTCTGCATAAATTTCATTTTCATCAGAGAGTAAATTGTTTCCTGTGGCTCTAGGATGGGCTATTAAAATAAAGTGTGACCTCATTAGTTTGCAGGAAGCTTAGATGAATAAGGTTGAACAGTCAAATAAATCCTCAGTTCCAATATTTTCAAGGTGTTACACTCCATCAAGTTACCATAGAAATGAGCACAGCACTTATCCACAGAGATTTTTCTCAGTAAGTTTTAACACATATTGAGTTATAATGTGTTAATATGACAGAACTTCTCCCTGGACATTTTGGATGTGTTATCAAATTTACTCATGGAACAGAATAGAGTAAATAAGGTAAGGTGAATTGTAAAATCTCTTTTGAAAAGAACCAGTTGGTGTGCATTTCCATAAACCATTTGTGATTTTTGACTGCTTTAATACCTGTCAAGAATTTTATTTTAGTTTTTATGTTCTAAATCAAATGACACACATTTCCAAACCCAAGAATGCTATTTTCCAATGTAAGAATAACTGACCTTTGGTCCAGGGGCTCCAGGCTCCCCTCGCTCACCTCTTCCAGGAGGTCCTGCTTCCCCACGTTCACCCTGTCAAAATTGCAAGACCTTATAGATTAATCAATGAGTTGAATGAAATCAAAGAAATCAGAGAGTTACCATTTATTTCCCATATCTCCAGTATTGTCTTACTCTCTTAACATGAGTTATCTCATTTAATAATCATATTTGTGAGGGTTAATTTTAGATGTCAACTTGACAGGATTAAAGGATACCTAGAAAGCTAGAAAAGCATTGTTTCTGGGTGTGTCTGCAAAGATGTTTCCAGAAGAATTTGATATGTGAGTTGGTTTACTGAGTAGGGAAGAATTGTCTTCTATGTGGGGAGTACCATCCAGTCAGTTGGAGGTCCAGACAACAAAAAAGCAGAGGCAAGGCAAATTCTCTCTTTTGGGGCTGGGACACCCTTCCTCTCCCGCTCTCGGACATCAGAACTCCAGGTACTCTGGCCTTTGAACTCCAGGACTTGCATCAGTGATGCCCAGTGTTTTGTGCTTTTGGCCTCAGACTAAGAGTTATCCCACTGGCATCCATGGTTCTGAGGCCTTCGGGCTTGGACTGAGCCATGCTACCAGCATCCCAGGCTTCCCAGTTTGCAGAATGGCCTGTGGTGGGCCTTTTCAGCTCCATAATCACATAAGCCATTTCCCCAAATAAATTCCTTCTTATCTCTCTCTCTATAATTTATTGGTTCTGTCTTCTTGGAAAACTCTGAAGAATACATAATTATTCAATGTTTATATTATCATCCCCTTTTTACAAAAAAGGAAATGGTTTGGCAAATGCCTGTATAATAGCTATGTTGGTAACTAGATAGACCTTTAAAGGGAATTGATAAAGGCCATGATTACATCTTGCAGTAGGAACGGACATCTAGTTACATTCTGCAGCCTCTTTGTAAGCACTACCAGCAAGAGGCATGGCAAAGTGGTTAAATTTCAGGCTTTGTAATCTGACATCTTGATTTTAGTCCTGGCTCTGCTATTTACCAGTTCTGTGTTCTGGGGTAGGTTAGTGAAGTTCTGCAAACCTCAGTTTCCCTCTTAAAATGGAGAAAATTATAGTATTGATCTCATAATTCAAGAATATAAAAAATGTTCAGAATGGTGCAAGACACACAAGTTATAGCTTTTTAATATATTTGCAGCTCTGTGAAGTATAAACATGGCTACCATCCTCAAGGAGCTAGTGGTCTAGTTAGACAGACATGAGCCACGTGAACAAAATTGTTAAGAATTAAGAAGTAGCCAGGCTCAGTGGATCAGCCTGTAATCCTGCACTTTGGGAGACTGAGTTGAGTGGATTGCCAGAGCCTGTGGGTTCGAGACCCACCTGGGCAACTTGGCAAGACCTCATCTCTACAATAAATAAAAAAATTAGCCAGGTATGGTAGCGCGCACCTGTAGTTCCAGCTACTTGGAAGATTGAGGCGGAAGGATCGCCGGAGCCCAGCAGGTCGAGGCTGCGGTGGCCGGGAGCATGCCACTGCACTCCAGTATGGGTGACAGAGTGAGACTCCGACCCCCCCCCCAAAAAAAAAGAATTAAGGAGTAATAGAAGGTTATAGGTGACAGAAGAGGAATTCACAGTGATCTCCGAATGTTGTGGACCGGATCCCTGGAGGGGAGGCTTGAGTCATGGATTGGTATGGCTTATTTTATAATTATTACTGTTGAGAACCGTACTGTTGGATTAAGTGTAGGAACTGTACAAAACATTTTACATGAATTATTCTATTCAATCCTCAAGACAATTGAAAAAGGTGTTAATATCCATATTCTACAGATGAGGAAGCTAAAGCTCAGAGAGGTTAAGTAATTTGCCCCAAATCACAAAGCTTTTAAAGTGAGAAAGCTGTAATTTAAAACTGATTGTGAGGCCAGGTGTGGTGGTTCACACCTGTAGTCCCAGTACTTTGGAAGGCCAAGGTGGGAGGATTTATTGAGCCCAAAAGTTCCAGACCAGCCTGGGCAGCCTCACAGCGAGACCTCATCTCTACAAAACATAAAAAAATTAGTTCAGTGTCATGGCGTGTGCCTGTAGTCCCTGCAACCGGGAGGTTGAGGCGGAAGGATCAACTGAGCCCAGAAGGTTGAGGCTGCGGTGTGAGCTGTGATCATGCCACTATACTCCAGCCTGGGTGACAGAGTATAACCCTGACTTAAAAACAAAAAGAAAAACGAACAAACACAAAAAAACTCTGATTTTGTTCAATCTTTATTTTTTACATACATGCTTTTGTATGTAAACTTTTTTGTATGTAAACATATCCCTGGTCATTTTCTTAGGATAAATTCTTAGTTAGAGAACTGCTAGAACAAAAAGTATGGGTATTTTAAAAAGCTTGCTAAATTGCCCTCCAGGAAAATGGAGGGAGTTTATACTCTCCAAACACAGATTCAAGAGCAACTGGCTTCTTGAATAAGGGGTAAAATTTCAATAATCAAACAGATTTAGAACTCAGACTGATAATAGCATGGCTATGGGTGAGAGAGGTGCTCTCCTCACTAAAGAAATGGATTTACCTTGGGAAAGGTAAAAAATTGGAATAGGATCTGTGATGGATAATGAAGGGCTTTTAAGTTCCAAGATCCTTATCCATATTAGCCCATGTTGAGAAGTCCTGGTGGTTTTGTAGGGGAAGTGGGATAGATTATGGCGAGGGTTAAGAAAGACAGAGGCAAAGGTTAAGAAAAACTCAGTAGGTTTCTCGGCATCAACTGAAAACAGAGAGGTTGGGAGAAAAACAAGGGACTTGACTGGATATGGATATGGAAACACTGGTCCAGAAACTAAAAGACTTTCTTTTTTTTTTTTTGATTTGGAGTCTCACTCTGTTGCCTATGCAGGAGTGCAGTGTCTTGATCATGGCTCACTGCAGCCTCATTCTTCTGTGCTCAGGTGTTCCTTCTGCCTCAGCCTCCTGAGTAGCTGGGACTACAGGTGCATGCCACCACATCTGGATAATGTTGAGGATTTTCTTGTAGAGATGGGTCTTGCTATGTTGCTCAGGTTGGTCTGGAATTCCTAGCCTCAAGCTATTCTCCCATCTTGGCCTCCCAAAATGCTAGGATTACAGGTGTAAGCCTGTGCCATGCCAGGCCAAGGGCTACTTTAAAAAAATTTTTTTCAGCCCCCACTGCCCCTCACATTAGAATGAGACTGAAGGGCTTCTGATGGCATGTGGAATTTCAAAAAAATGTAAGATATTTGGTGTTTCTTTTCATATTTTACTTTAAGACTTACAGAAGAATTCTGAAACACTCACTATAAACTAATTTTAGGGAAAATTAAAAACCTTAAAATATCATTTACCTGTAGTTTGCCAAAGGAGTAAAGTCTTTATATATAGATACACACACACACACACACACACCACGCACACATATATCTTTACATATAAGGATATTTTACGTTTTTTATATTTTTAGAGAAGGGGGTCTTGCTATGTTGCCCAGTCTGTAGTGTGGTATCTGTTCACAGGCGTTATCATAGAGCACTACATCCTCAAACTCCTGGACTCAAGGAATCCTCTCATTCAGCCTCTGAGTAGCTGGAATTACAGGAGATTGTTACTGTGTCCAGCTAGAATCACTTTGCATCACAATGCTCTCAATTAGTTTCCTATCACTGTCTGAAATTATGTTATATATTTGTTTACTTCTTTCTCTATTTCCACCTCTCCCTTATCCATATAGGAATGTAGGCTTAAGGATAGCAGAGATTGCTTTTGTTGTATTTATTGCCCATTCTCTAACACAGAAAAATACTTGGCAAAAAAAAAAAAAAGCTGAATTAACGAGTAAACAGTCTCAGTAACAGTATTCTAGAATATTCTGATTGCCACCCCATTTCTTTAGACTGATGTAGGTCCTGCCCAGGTACTGATGCAGCCACTAAAGATACGGTGGTACATAAAATAGATTTTTTTTTTAGTTAGAGTCTCACTCTGTCACCCAAGTTGGAGTGCAGTGGCAGCCTCACAGCCACCACAGCCTCAACCTACTGGGCTCAGGCGATCCTTCCACCTCAGCCTTCCAAGTAGCTGGAACTACAGGCACATGCTACCACACCTGGCTTATTTTTTGATTTATTGTAGAGACGAGGTCTCACCAAGTTGCCCAGGCTGGTCTCAAACCCCTGAGCTCAGGCAAGTTTCTCGTCTAGGTCTCCCAAAATACTGGGATTACAGGCTTGAGCCACCATCCCTGTCCTAAAACAGATTTTTAACACAACCTTGGCATTGCTCACAGGTGTGCTGCCTTGTAAGTATCACACACTAACTGTACCACTGGAGTTACATGAAACAGATTTTTAGATGCCTTTACACATCTTTCGTTGTTGTGATCTCTCTTCACTGTGTTGACTGTAAAAAACACAGTGTTCATTTTAAAAAAAAAATCTGAATTTAGTGGTAGAAATCAAGACTGTCTACACAACTAGAAAAGAGTAGTGTTTGTCTGAAAGAGGTTTTTAAATAATAATGACCTTCCCACTATGCTACTGAACGCATGTTAAGACTGGCAATTCATCTGACAATTAACTTCAAAATATTGAAGTTTAAAAACTTCAGAGTGAATCTCCTACCCATATCTCTTCTTGCGGAAATACAAAAAAGTACATTACATTCTTTACTATTATTGGAGGTTCAGAGGTAGTATCTGTTATAAAAGTATCTGGTTTGTGAAATCGTCCTAGGTTTTCTTTCCTTCTTCCTTCTTTCCTTCCTTCCTTCCTTCCTTGCTTCCTTCCTTCCTTCCTTCTTTCTTTCTTTCTTTCTTTCTTTCTTTCTTTCTTTCTTTCTTTCTTTCTTCCTTTTACTTTATTTTATTATAAAGATGTGGGGTACAAGTCAGGACTAGGTTCATAAGTAATGAATATGCAGGTGAAGTTTGGTTCTTTGTAACAGTAATTAATGTTGATTTTATGGCTCTACATCTAGATCTTTTTTTTTTTTAATCTGTAAGATAGTCTAAAATCCATTAACTGAAGAAAATATACTCAGGTATAAACTCCAGTCTCTACTGCTTGTATTTCTTCTATTTTCCCTTGGATAGCGAACAAGATTCCACAAACATTTGCAGATACAGTTTGTGCCTGATTCTCTCTCCATTGGTCACTTCTCTTTTTATATATGGTGCTCACTATGAGACTGCCTGCCTTCCTCACCTGGCTGTGAGGCTACAAGCCTGAATAAATATGACAGTTCTTACATTAACAGTGGATGTCCAGTATTCCCTTGCTCTCTCTCTCTTTTTAGTCCAGAAAGGAATTTCTTGCATAAAACATGCATTCTATTTAATATGAGGATATTTTGTTAATAAGCCTAACAGCTCATTAGGTGAAGAAGAAATTTCTTTTTTTTTTTTTTTTTTGAGTTGGAGTCTCACTCTGTCACCCAGGCTGGAGTGCTGTGGCACACTTACAGCTACCCCAGCATTGACCTGCTGGGCTCCAGCGATCCTTCCGCCTCAGCCTTCCAAATAGATGGAACTATAGGCATGTGTTATCATGCCTGGCTAATTTTTTTGATTTATTGTTGAGATGAGGCCTTGCCAAGTTTAGTCTACTCGCCTCAGCCTCCCAAAGTGCTGTAATTACAGGCTGAGCCACTGAACTTGGCCTGAAAATTCTTAAGAAAGCAACAGTTTTGCATAATCCAACCAAGTTTCTGTCCTTCTTTCGTCACACATAGTTTCCAATTACTAGAGTTATTTTCACTTGACCAACAGAAATGAGGATCCTTCTGTCAGAAGACAATTTTCATATTTCCTAACTCTTGAAAACCATCCCGCTTATCTCAGCTGAATGCAATACACATGGAGGCAAGGACTGCTCTGGCTTAAAAATAAAAGAATGTAGTTTGAAGTAATTTTGTCCCTTCTTTGATTCATGAGTCTGTCATGAGTAAAGTTTCATCATCAGACCTGTACTTTTTACGCCTTACTGGATAGATAAAAAGATAACTATGGGCCTGACTATATTCACAGCAACATATATTTTTACATGGCAGCATATAGATTTTGTTTTTAGGGCCCTCTCTAGGGTTACCAAGCAGAAGATCACAAGATGGTTTTCATTATAGAATATTTTTGCAGACACTATTCAGGGTGGATCCTTTTGGGATGAAGCACTGAGGAATTATATATGATATCAGTTCTTGCCTTTGAAATCTGGTGAGTAATGGGAACAGTAATAATGTATGATCTATAAGTGTATCCTAAAATTGGTGATGAGACACAGGAGTTAATGAGTTCTGTCTCCCATCCTCAGAATTCTTCTACTTTTTCACATGGCCAGAAGGCTCATCTCAGCTTAGCAGTATTTGGAGAGACAACTGGAACAAATACTGTATTCCACCATCCTGTTGGCTTGCCTAAGGCTTTCTGGAATTAACTTTCCATTACTCTATTATGGTGTTCCCATTAGAGGTTTTAGTAATAGGCAGATTAAGATGCTTTAGCTCTCTACTAGGCAAAAATATCTGGTCACCTAAATAATTGGGTTACCCCACATTTCTTTCAATATAATGGGTTAAAAATATATGATAAAAATTTCAGAAAGAAAGTAAGGAAAAATTATGTCCACTTACTTTTGTGCCTGGTAACCCTGGTAAGCCTGGTTCTCCCTGAGGACCAATGAAACCTGGTTCTCCCTTTAAAAAGATAAGCATACGAGATAATTATTTATTTGACAGTAACTAAATAAAGCTAAACTCATTTCTTCCTACTTGGATTTTACTTTCTTGATTGTGCATAGCTTTCTTACTGTGGTTCAGCTACTGACTATACAATTAATCAGAATTGGTTTGGATCAATGAAAACACTTTGAGCAAAACTTTGGAGAAGCTTTAAAAAGTAAAAGTGACAAAATAATCAGATAAATGTCCTTACAATCACCTTCCTCATCTATGGCCAGTGTTTCTTACCACTTACCAATTTAAGATCCTTATATTTGGGGGAATGTGGTACGTAGCCTCTAAGATGGGCTTCAATTATTTCATCCTCTAGTGTTCATGCCCTTGTGTAATTGCCCCTCACCCCCACTTTTTATTTTTTTGAGTTGGAGTTTCACTCCATTGCCCAGGCTGGAGTGCATTGGCACACTCATGGCCACCCCAGCGTTGACTGGCTGGGCTCCAGCGATCCTTCCGCCTCAGCCTTCCAAGTAGCTGCCCAGCTAATTTTTTCATTTATTGTAGAGACAAGGGCTGGCCAAGTTGCCAAGGTTGGTCTCGAACCTGTGGGCTCAGGGAATCCACTCGTCTCGGCCTCCCAAAGTGCTGGGATTACAAGCTGAGTCTCCGAGCTCGGCCTTCCCCCTCCCTTTTTTCTTTTTTGACTGAGGACTGTATTTACTGACTTAATCTAATGAACAGAATATGGAAGAAGTGATAGATATCACTTCTGAGTCTAAATTATAAAAAGACTGTGATTTCCATAGGGGGCTCTTTCTTGTTCCCTCTCACTTGGATCACTTGCTTTGGAGGAAGCAAACTGCTATGTTGTGGGCGGCCCTATGGAGAAGGCCACATTGTGAGGACTGAGGTCCGCCAAGAGTCACGTGTGAGCGTGGGAGCAGATGTCCCACGCTGTATTCAGATGAGACCACAGCCCTGACTGACAGCTTCCCTGCAACCTCATGGAGGGCTGAGCCAGAAATCTCTAGTTGTGTTGTGTTTAAATTCCTGTCCTTCAGAAACTGTGAGCTAACTGACAATTGTCACTAAGTTTGGGGGGTAATTTGGTAGGCAGCAATAGATGAGTGATACAATGGATGTGGCTAGGGAAGAAATTCAGGAATGTTCACAATAAAAGGGAAAATATCTCCACTTGCCATAACTTCAAAATCTTATCTCCACTACCTGGAGGAAACCCAACTGGTATAACAAAAAATATATTTGTTTTGGTCCCCAATTCCTGGCACCAACCTCCCAAAACGCTTGGAATTTTCTGAGTGATAGGAATGAAAAAGAGTCTCTTTTGTTACTGATAACCAGTCCTTTTCAACCATATCTGAGTTTATGTGAGGTGAATCTTAGTGGGCTTCTAAATAGCTTCAGGATGGGAACTGGTTTGCAGAGGAACCAACTGGGTGATAGCTGTGTTGGAACTTTCTGCCCCACCTCTCTGCCTCTGAGGAGGGGAAAAGGACAGGAGAGACTGAGTTCAACCACCAATGGCCAGTGATTTAATCAGTCATGCCCACATAATGGAAATTTCATAAAAACTCCAGAACAACAGGCATGGGAAAGTGTCTGAGTTGGGGAGCACATCTGTGTCTAGGAGGGTGAAATCTGTCTTGGGGACAGAGGCTCTCGTGATCAGTACTCTTTCAGACTTTACCCTATGTACTTCTTCCTCTGGCTGTTCAATTTTATCTTTTTTAATCAACTGTAATAGTAAGTAGAGATTTTTCTTGAGTTTTGTGAGTCATTCTGACAAATTAACAAACATGAAGGGGTGGGGGATTTTGAGAACCCTTGAATTTGTAGCCAAGTCAGGCAGAAGTGTGGGTGACCTAGGGAACTGATACTCAAGACTGGCGAATGAAATGAAGTCTTGTGAGACTGAATCTTTAAATTTGTGAAGTCTGATACCAACCAGGGTAGCTTGTGATAGAATAAGATTGAACCATGGGACATCCAGTTGGTGTCAGAGAATTAGAGAATTGGTGTTGGAAAAAACACCACATATTTTGTGTCAAAAAACACCCAAGGCTGGTGTTCACATTAACTTAATTATTCATAAAGTTTTATTTTCTTTTTAACTATTTGAGTTCAAATATAAGGGGTTAACTAGCCAAAATCTATAGTGAAAATTTAAAGAAAACACTATAATGGCTCTGTTCTTGTGTTTCCTGGGGTTTTTTCCCCCTCTTGGTTTATTTCTGGCTTATTAATGTTGCTTAATGTATCTGATTTTTTCCTGAAGGCTGCAGTTTCATAATACTTGGAGTTGAGCAGGAAGCTCCAGAGAGAATGCTTCGTCAGATGTGCTAAAATGTCATAAAAGATTTCAAGCAAGTGAACTTTAAAAATATGCTGCATAAAATCTTGGGCATGGAGTGGGGAACAAAAGGATATCACCACTACAGAACTTATCATATTGTTATATAATTCAAACAGATTTATCTCTATCTCTGGTGTTCACGAGACCAATTTAAGAAAAAAGATGGAGGTGGGGAATTAATGCTTTAGGTTTATTGCTTGCAAATATCTACCCCGTATCCTTACACCTAATGGAAAGGAGAATCTAAAAATAATAATTTTGGGTGGATCTCTTAATTGCCTAAAATGAAAATCTGAACTATATTCAGAGAAATCTATGATGACCATTCTACTTCTAGTAAGAGTCTAACTTGTTAGTTCATGAACAAAAATTATAAGGAATAATTTGTTTACATGTAATATTTCTCCCAATAAAAATAATATATACAAATAAATAAATATTCCCAAGTCAATGTGCATCATTGGTAATGACTTACTGCTAGGGAAATGTAATGCAAGTTAATATGTTGAATGTTTACAGGTAGACAAGAACTCTTGCATAGCTTCAAGAAGAAAGAAAATGATCTCTCTGTTTAGCAAATCAAATAGAAGCACCATTAAAGCATACTAATAAAAGAGAAGAAAAAAGAGTAAATGCTACAAAAACATTTCTCATTCAGGTTAGTGTTTAGTTTATTAAAAGATGAAGCATGCAGGTACATAATTCACAAACAAATACATAAGGCTTTGTGATCTCAGAGGTCAGGCAAAAGTGTTTTATCTTCTTTTGTTTTGTTAGACCATATATTAAATTTCCCTTAGTGAGCAGAGTGTTCTTTTAAACAGAATGTTCAGGGGAAACATTTTTATTTCGAGACATAAAATTAGCAATGCATTTTACAGAATAAGCAATTTTAGCACTGTTAATATTGGCTAATTTTAAAGGTTTTGAGTATGATTAGTTATACTTGATCATGCCACTCTAAGGAAGTTTCTACCACATCGATACATTCTAACCTACTTCTTATTTTAATTACTTCAAGGAGAAAAATTGTACACTTAACTTTAGGATCACAGTTTTGTTTATTTACTTTCGGAGTTCTCCATCACTTTAGAGACAGTAACTTCATACTCTCTATATTTAGGCAGGATGGGGAGGAGACCAATATTGATCTCTTTTTTCTCTCAAACTTCAGAAACAATCGTTCAAGTAAATAAGGAATGGATTTGTCTACTGTAGTCTTGAGTTAGTTAGGCTGTTTCTTATCTTCTTGAGCTTATACCAGAGGTTTTCAAAGTGGAGACCTCTGGGGATCTTTTGACCTTTTCAGGGAGTCTTTAAGGTCAAACTATTTTCATGAAAACACAGACATTGTTTGCCTTTTTGCTTTCATTACCACATGAGTGCAAACAGTATGAAAAGTTCATTATATGGTTCCAGATTCTAACCTTTAAGAAACTGCCACTTGTGGAGTTTGGGGTAGTAGCAAAGAAAAATATAGCCAGTAATCTGACTGGGCTAATAAAATAACCTCCCCATGTCCAATTACATATCTGTATCAGGCTTGTTTTTCTTCATCTACTTCAACCAGAACAGCAAATTGTACCACATTGAGTACAGAAGCAGACATGGCTTCTAGCTAGGCATTAAATAGATTTCCCCCCAAAAGTTTAGCAATTTCACTATTCTTGCTCAACTTTTTAAAAATCTTGTTTTAAAAACCAGCTGTATTTTATAAAATATGCCACATAATTAACATGTAATGGGTTTTTTAAATGTTCTCCGTTTAATTTCTAATACAAAAATAACAAGAGATACAACTTAGAGAAAGAAAAGCTCTTCAAGTCCTAATTTTTAAGAGTGTAAAGGTGTTCTGAGACCAAAATGTTCAAGAACCACTGGTTCAAAAATGCAGAACTGTGCTAAAGGCTGGCTTTGCAGGCTGGAGTCCTGAGGTGCCAAATAACAGAAAATTCTGGCTTTGTTAAGGGGTGGCTTAGAAAAGATAGCATAAGAAAATTCAAACAAAACATTTAGCACTCTCCCTTGAATAACGTCAGTGTGCAATAAATGCTTGTTATTACTGTATTCCTCATCGAACAGGCTTAACAATGTTAGCTATCATTAATATTAGTAGTATTACAACATCTCTGCAACCTTGTATTATTCAAGGTGACTTATTGTCGCCTTTCAACCTGCCTGGGGCTATTCCAACACCTCTTCAACTTCTCTCAAGAAGTAGCCCTAAATTTTGTCTTGTGAATATATTATTATTTTTATGAAACAATATCCATCTGCCAGAACCGTTAGGATTGCAAAACCAAAAGAAGGTTTAAAACACATCAGAACTATGAAAGGTAGAAAAGCGACAAGTTCCTAAGAATGAGTTTTCTTTCTTAAAGGAAGATAAAGAAGAAAGTGGTCATACCTATTGAATTTCCCTCAATAAATTTAATTCTATTAAAAAAAAAAAACTTACCGCTTTTTTGAAAAGGACTAATATACAGTTTAAAGTTTCTGGAATCTCCCAAAATGTCTAGGAGAAAGGCCATGGTAACCTAAGATTATAAAAATCCTTGCTTGTGATAAAAAAGATAAAAAGATAAGCAAGTAACTAGGATAGATGAAAGAAACCAGATGAGGGGAAGCAGGTGGAGGCCAGCAG